TTGTCTTTATCTCTTTGCAAGTGCTTTCATTTCTTTCGCAATTGGGTGGCATTGTCTTTCATTGTGAATTTGCACTTGGGAAATGACCAGGATCGCAACACTCTCATTGTCAAGTTCATGTATGTAGTGATGTTCCCGTTCATACTTAGTTGACCTTTCCTCCATGTGCATTTGTCCTTCACTAGTCTGAGCTTCTCATTGTCAAGTTCATGTATGTTGTGATGTTCCTGTTCATACTTAGTTGATCTTTCCTCCATGTGCATGTGTCCTTCAATAGTTCAAGCCTCTCATTGTCAAGTTCGTGTATGTAGTGATGTTCCGGTTCATACTTAGTTGATCTTTCCTCCATGAGCATGTGTCCTTCGCTAGTTCAAGACTGTCATTGTCAAGCTCATGTATGTTGTCATGTTATGGTTCATACTTAGTTGAACTTTCCTCCACGTGCATGTGTCCTTCACTAGTTCAAGCTTCTCGTAATCAAGTTCATGTATGTAGTGATGTTCGAGTTCGTACTTAGTTGATCTCTCCTCTATGTGCTTGTGCGTTTTTGGCTTATTCAAACCTCTCATTGTCAAGTTCATGTATGTAGTGATGTTCCGGTTCATACTTAGTTGACCTTTCCTCCATGTGCATTTGTCCGTTACTAGTCCAAGCTTCTCATTGTCAAGTTCATGTATGTTGTGATGTTCCGGTTCATACTTAGTTGATCTTTCCTCCATGTGCGTGTGTCCTTCAGTACTTGAAGCCTCTCATTGTCAAGTTCGTGTATGTAGTGAAGTTCCGGTTCATACTTAGTTGACCTTTCGTCCATGTACATTTGTCCTTCACTACTTCAAGCTTCTCAGTGCCAAGTACAGGGATGTTGTGATGTTCCGGTTCATCCTTAGTTGATCCTTCCTCCATGTGCATGTATCCTTCGCTAGTTCAAGAATCTCATTGTCAAGTTCATGTATGTTGTGATGTTCCAGTTCATACTTAGTTAATATTTCCTTCACGTGCATGTGTCCTTCACTAGTTCAAGCTTCTCGTTGTCAAGTTCATGTATGTTGTGATGTTCGAGTTCGTACTTAGTTGATCTCTCCTCTATGCGCATGTGCCTTTTCACTAGTTCAAACCTCTCATTGTCAAGTTCATGTATGTAGTGATGTTCTGGTTCATACTTAGTTGACCTTTCCTCCAGGTGCATTTGTCCGTCACTAGTCCAAGCTTGTCAATGTCAAGTTCATGTATATCGTGATGTTCCGGTTCATACTTAGTTGATCTTTCCTCCATGTGCATGTGTCCTTCACTAGTTCAAGCCTCTCATTGTCAAGTTCGTGTATGTAGTGATGTTCCGGTTCGTACTTAGTTGATTTTTCATCCATGGGCATGTGTCCTTTGGTAGTTCAAGATTCTCATTGTCAAGTTTGTGTATGTAGTGATGTTCCGGTTCATACTTAGTTGACCTCTCCTCAATGTGCATTTGTTCTTCACTAGTTCTAGCTTCTCATTGTCAAGTTCATGTGTGTTGTGATGTTGGATCCATACTTAGTTGATCTTTCCTCCTTATGCATGTGTCCTTCACTCGTTCTAGCTGCTCATTGTCAAGTTCATGTGTGTTCTGATATTCCGATCCAGACTTAGTTCATCTCTCCTCCATGTGCAAGTGTCTCTCACTAGTTCTAGCTTCTAATTGTCAAGTTCATGTGTGTAGTGATGTTACGGTTCATACTCAGTTGATCTTTCCTCCATCTGCATGTGTCCTTCACTAGTTCAAGCCTCCCATTGTCAAGTTCGTGTATGTAGTGATGTTCGGGTTCATACTTAGTTGATGTTTCCTCCATGCGCAGGTGTCCTTCGCTACTTCAAGATTCTCATTGTCAAGTTCGTGAATGTAGTGATGTTCCGGTTCATACTTAGTTGGCCTTTCCTCCATGTCCATTTGTCCTTCACTAGTTTTAGCTTCTCATTGTCAAGTTCATGTGTGTTGTGATGTTCCGATCCATACTTAGTTGATCTTTCCTCCATGTGCATGTGTCCTTCACTCGTTCTAGCTTCTCATTGTCAAGTTCATGTGTGTTGTGATGTTCCGATCCGTACTTAGTTGATCTTACCTCCATGTGCATGTGTCCTTCACTAGTTCAAGCCTCCCATTGTCAAGTTTGTGTATGTAGTGATGTTCCGGTTCATTTTTAGTTGACATTTCCTGCATGTGCACTTTTCCTGCACTTGTCCAAGCTTCTCATTGTCAAATTGATGTATGTTGTGATGTTGTGGTTCATGCTCGGTTGATCTTTCCTCCATGAGCATGTGACCTTCGCTAGTTCAAGCTTCTCATTGTCAAGTTCATGTGTATAGTGATGTTCCGGTTTATACTCAGTTGATCTTTCCTCCATCTGCATGCGTCCTTCACTAGTTCAAGCCTCCCATTGTGAAGTTCGTGTATGTAGTGATGTTCCGGTTCATACTTAGTTGATCTTTCCTCCATGCGCATGTGCCCTTCACTAGTTCAAGCCTCTTATTGTCAAGTTTGTGTATGTAGTGATGTTCCGGTTCATACTTAGTTGACCTTTCCTCCATGTGCACTTGTCCTTCACTAGTCGAAGCTTCTCATTGTCAAATTCATGTATGTTGTGATGGTTCGTTTCATGCTCGGTTGATCTTTCCTCCATGAGCATGTGACCTTCACTAGTCCAGGTTTCTCATTGTCAAGTTCGTGTATGTTGTGATTTTCCGGCTCATACTTAGTTAATCTTTCCTCCACGTGCATGTGTCCTTCGCTAGTTCAAGCTTATTATTGTCAAATTCATGTATGTTGTGATGTTCCGGTT